TCGACCGCCCGCCGTTGTTCACCCTGCACGGGGACAGCTCGCCTGGGGGAGATGGAGAGCAGGGACAGTGTCAGCAAGGCCGTTCCCCTTGGCCTCCCTGCTGGGGAGAGGAGAAGTCAGGGTTCCTCCCCAGGCTCTTCAGATGGGGCTATGGGGGATGCATGGGGTTGGGGGCATCTGCGGTCCCCAGATCTTGCAAGGAAGATGCCCTGGGAAGAGCACAAATGAGGTACACCCTCTCTCTTCAGCCTCTGCAGGGTCTGGGGATGGACAGGCCTTGGTGTGAGGGTCCCAAAGGGGCAATGACTGGCCAAGAAGGATGGTGGGATGGGTTCCCCCTGCCCTGGCCTGCAGATGGGGTGGAAGAGACACCCCAGAGAGGGGCAGAGGCCTGGCAGGGGAGCAGGGGCCGTGGTGGTGACGGGTGGGACGCGGGGTGTCCTTACAGCTGTCGGTGTCGTTGGCCACAGCGATGATGCCCATGGGCTGCTGGGGGATGTCAACACGCAGGAGCTTCATGTCAGTGCCCACGTACTTGTTGGCTCGTTGCACAGCCCTGCGCACCCAGTCCGTCCAGAAGATGTAATCGCCGTAGACGGCCAGGCCAAAGGGGTGCACGGGCTCCGACTTCAAGATCACCTGCCAGGCATGGGCACAGCGTGAGCACCAGGGAACGTGGCTGGGCGATTCGGCCCCTAGCCCGACCCCGGCTGCAGCCTGGGCACGGCCCGAGCCCCTCCCCGTGCCCCAGGAAGGTGCTGTCCTCCAGCAGTGTCCCAGCCCGTGCGCTGACCCTCGCCGCTCCCCTCCCGCCTCTGCTGGGTCTGGACTCACGTGGCGGTGGGAGCCGTCGTATTCACAGCGCTCGATCTTGTCCAGCGTGGCATCAGAGAAGTAGATCTTCTCAGCCTTGTGGTCAATGGCCAGTCCATTGGGTGTCCGTATGTCCTGGTCAATGATGATGAGGACGTTGGCACCAGAGAGAGTGGCACGCATGATGCTGGGGTGCTGCTCGTTCCAGTTGGTCCAGAACATCAGGCTGGAAAGGGAGAGACACATGATGCCTTTGCAACCCCCTCTACACGTTGGCTTGGCCCACCCCTCTGCTGCTGAGAGTCCTCCAGGGACTTTGGGATCGATGGGACATAAAAAGGGGTGGGAGGGGGACGAATGAAGCCGCTGCAGCCAGCTGGGAAACATGGTACCCTACAGTAACAGCCAGAGAAGGAGATGGGATGTGGTTTCTCTCTGCTTTGGGGTGCTGAAGGACATGAGGGGACCTCTGCTCCCTGGGGCTCAATTCTCTGTGCTGGGAATCAGCGCTTCCTCCCCAGTGGAAGGGAGTCCACCTGGATGCTGGCCATGGGACCACCCCCCCCAGGTGGGGCCAGTTGGGCCACCAAAGGCCACTCACTTCTGGCACTCGTCCAGCACGAAGGCGCGGGGGTGGTCGTCCCCCGACATGGTGATCACCGTCTCCCTCTCGAAGGCACCCAGGCGGCTCTGGTCCACGGTGTGCCGTGTGATGGTGGAGGTGGTGTAGCTGGGCCAGTACAGCGTGTCCCAGCCACGGTGTTATGCCAGCCCCTCCACCGAGCCCACGTCTGCAGGAGGGAGGACAGGAGAGGGTCGTGTCCAGCCCGTGCTCCTGCAAGGGTGCCTGGCACACGCCGCACGGCCAGCACTGACTGTGATGCTTGGACGCAGCTTCTTTGGCAGCCTGAAGTTATTGCTCTTAATTACACCCCAAAAATACCCCTCAGAGGCCCTGGCTGTTTGCTAACACCGTGCTGAGGCGGCAGCACCTGAGGGGATCTGCCAGGCTGGGCTCCTGTCTGTGCTAATGGGTGAGCCGAGACCCCTGGAGACTTCACGGGCCTCCTGGGCAGGACTCTGCTACCAGCCAGGTAAAACCACTTCCCTGCAAAAAGGCTGAGTGGTGTTCACCTGTGATGAAATAAGGACTTGAACGTGGGTTTCAGGTTCACCTCATCACCTCCCTTGCCAGGCCTCACTCCAGGTCTCCCATCCCCGCAGCAGCAGCACTGGGAAGGGACGAGTGTCCCTCTGCCAGGGGAGAGCTGAGGCCCGAGAGGCACAAAGCGCCAGGACGAAGCCTCGTGGCCGACCAGGGCCCAGCTCCCAGGCCAGGGGCTTGCATTGCACACCCATCCTTCCTCCCTCACCACCAACCAGCCAAAGGTCTAATGCAGCAGCTGGGAGAGACAGGCCCTGCCCTCCCGAGGGCAGCGTGGATGGCTCTCCTGAGAGCCGCTCATCAGCGAGCACATCCACAGCCCGGCTCGAGGTGCTCCCCAGTGACTCAGATCCATTTGGCTGCTGCAGGAGCTGGCAGAACCCCCTGGGAGCACCCCGAGGGCTGGAGGTGGTGACAGGGCCAGGAGGGTCTGCCTCAGAAGCCAAGTGCAGCCAGGGAGCAGATCCCAAGCTCGCTGCAGAGCCGTGTTCCTCGAGCCACGCAGCAGCCCGAGCCCCGTGACCTGCCCCCCTTGCCAGAGCCCACTCCCAACACACACATCCCCTACCACACGCTGCTGCCTCCTCCAGAGGCTCCGGCAGAAAGCTACAGCTCAACCCTGACCGGCTGCCACTCCAAAAAGCACCAAAACACATTAACAGAGAAGAGGAAAATAAAAATAGCCCTTGGGCGAGGAAGGGGGGAGTTCAGGAAGGAAACAGAGGAGCGGGTCCCGAGGGCAGGCGCCCGTGGAGGCGGCCCCGTGACACTCACTCTCCACGATGGTCTTGCGCCCTGTGCCGTCGTCGTTGATCTGCTGGATGTTGCCGAAGTGGATGTCGCTGTAGAAGATGCGGTTGCTGCCCTTGGAGCCGTAGCGGTAGTCAAAGGCCAGGGCGATGACGTTCTTCATGTGCTCTGCGTCCTCGAAGGGCTTGATGGGCGCGTTGAGGTTGTTCTCGTCTGACAGATGGATGCTCTTGAGGATGGTGCGCTCCG